CTCCGGTATGCTTTGATCGCTGATATGCCAAGAATTATTAGAAAAGTTAACAACCCAGCCAAAATCTTTACAAAACCATTGACTAAAATCACGAACGGCACGACATGGGTACTAATTATTATTATTAATATGGAGAGAAAACGACACTGATTTTCACCGCTCTTAAGAAAATTCCAACTAAGGAAATTATTAGTGTCATCAAAAAAAAACACAATCCGTCCAAAGAAGAAAGGGCCGCTCTTAAAACCAATACCGACCTAGTCATCCTTCCCGCTAACAAAGGCAATGCCACAGTCATTCCCGCATTGAACGTAAGATCACAATCCTTTTGAGATCAGGTGATTTCCCAACCAATGTACTCAAACCCCGAAATTGCAAACCACCACGTATAGACGGTCTGCCCAAAATCCACAAAAACAATTGCCCCCTTAGACCCATCGTCAGTTCTTTAAAGTCTCCCACTTACACTACAGCACAATATCTCGCCCGTGTTCTGAAAGAATATACCGAGAAAACCTCCTCACATATTCTTAACTCCTCACATTTTGTCTAACTGATCTCCGAAAACTCTCTTGACCCCAAAGAGCGAATTGTCAGTTTCGACGTAACATCTTTATTCACAAAAGTTCCCGTAGCCGACGGGTCCTCAACATTAATCCGTGAATTGCTTTCCAGTGACGGACAATCTCAACTTCTTCACGATCTCGCGGAAAAATGTCTAACCTCCACATTTTTTACCTTCCAAGGCCAATTCTACAAACAAATCTCTGGCACTCGTCATAGAGGCTTTTGAAGAGACAACCATTGGATCCGCTCATCTCAAACCCAAAGTCTGGTTCCGCTACATGGACGACACCAGTGGTGGCTCCTCGGGGTGGGCAGGGTGGGCAATGCCCACCCCATTTGATTGTTTACGATACGAAGTAAAATATTGATTTTTTTTCTTTTTTAAATTATTTTATATGTATACACAAATAATTATCGTCATAAACATCATTTAAGCCAACGAATTTTCTTCATTACATCCCGCAGTTTCCGCAACTGAGAAATTGCAGTTGCAAAAAAGTGCGTCAGATCTCGGCGTTATACGGTTTATGTGAGGATGGGCTAGTCCACCCTGGTCCACCCTCTCGTAAGCAACGACATACGTTCGGTTTTCTATGTACGTGATTGAGAGTAAAGAATTCGAAATGCGCGTCTTTGCATATCCGTGTTTGCTTGCTTCAAGCGGGGCAGGACGCCCTGGCATCAACGTATATCTCAAACGCTGCAGAATCGGATCTCTCGATATTCGATTCAAGGATTCAATAAATTAATTTCGATTTTTTTATTTCTTCTGTATTGTAAAAGTATAGAGGTAATTATTTTTATTACTCTATTGAAATATGGGTAAGATAGTAAGGAAAATAATGTTATGCGAAAATTCTTGAATACTATTGTTATAGAAAAGAGCAACACCATAATAATTAATAAATACTTTTTTATATCAAATGAAAATTTGTAATAACCATATTCTTGTATTATGACACCGTGTAAACTTTATAATGAATTATAAATTTAAAAATCCGAATACCCAATGATGAGAATAAGTAATACATTTATTATTGCAGTACGTATTTGACATGTGTATTTTTTTATTATTACATATGCATTTTTCTTTCATAAATATAACTGTAGCAGAGTCAACAAAAGTTAAATATACGCTTAATTTATTATTTAATTCAGACTCTCCGCACAGGTTTGTTACGCGCTTCTAGGATGGGCAAATCCACCCTGAAAATCGGAAGCACTTGGCATGGTTCGTCCTCGTCGGAGACACGACTCAATTGAATTCAATCAGATCAGAAACTGCATTCTGGATAGTGCATTTAATTATAAAATGTAGCTTATTCAAATTACCAAATAGTTAGGCGGGTACCAAAGTAGGTACTTTCTAGCAATTTTTTTTAATGGCAAATCCGACTGTAAGGTGTGCAAATAATATTAGAGAGGTGGTAAAAAAGATATTAAAGATATTGAGTTTTTGTTTTTAATAAATAAATCCAGTAGTATGGAACTTGATATTTATGAATTATTTGTTTATAAATTAAGATCATGTCCCAAAATGAAACAATTGGTCATCAAAAACTCTCGTAGCAGTAATAAAGGCTTTAATCAAAGTTCGGACAATAAATATTACCTATTGGCTGATCGGTAGTGAAACAACAAACAAAACTGTTGGAATTGTCTGCTATTTAACATAAAATTAAATTACGAACACTTTAGAATTCCACAAGAAGAGCGATATAAAATATATCGCTACTGTTTTACAAAAGCATGACCAATCTAAATAAACGAAAATTACTTGGAAAACGAAGTGAAACTATAGAAAATTCTCTTAAATTCGGCGTTTATTCGATATGATAATTTTCTTGGCTACACAACAACATACATTTCGGGGGGATGAATGGCAAGTTTCTCTTAAAGTAAATTCAATGATAAATTTAAAAAGTTTTTGGAGGAGTCTTTAGTAATTAGTGGTCTTCAGAACGATTATTTTGGAATTATTTTTATTTTATTTGTTATTGTTAACTTTGTTAGTATTTTGAGAATTTATTTTTTGTTTCATTTGGCATTTTAAATTTTGCTTTTGCAATAATTTTCCAAATTGCTGCTTTTTCTAAGTCTAGCTTATCTCAAAGGTTTAAAATTTAACGTTTTCTCGTCATGTTATTTCAAAATCTTTACATGTTGGGATCATTATTTGAGTTTATAGTTCTATAAACTCCTAACAAATCTATTTATGTGCTGAACCTTTTTTTTTGCTCCTATTTCCTCTTCTAGCAAGAGTCTTCGACGTTCTCGTTGGTTCTTGCTGAACGACATTGTAAGTAACATTTATAAAATAATATATATGTAATATACATAAAATATTTGTTATATTATATTGATTGACATGCAGCACCAAAACAAAAACACGTTCTCACAAAAATGATTAATTATATATATGTGTATATATTTTTTTCATACATGTTATAACCTACCTGTAATGCTTTGCCCACCCATCAAAAATCACCACGAGCCGCCACTGGACGACACATTTGTCAAAACGCCCTTTCAGTCTCTCACGACTATCTCAACAGTCAACACCCCTACATTCAGTTTACCATGGAATTGGAAACCAACAATTGTCTTCCTTTTCTTGATGTTATTATAACCAGGTTACCTGAAAGTCGACTTGGTCATTCGGTCTATCGAAAACCTACCCGTACCAATCGATATCTTCACGCTACGTCTCATCACCACCCCGCCTAAAAACGGTCTGCCATTGCCTCCCTAATTAATCGAGCCACTACCATTTGTCAACCGGACAAACTCCAAAAAGACTTAGAACATCTCCAAATATGTCTTCAACAAAATGGATACGACCACCACACTATCAAGTCTGCCATTCAAGGTCAGCTTGATCGTAACTCTGATAAAACTTCAGATTGCCCAAAATACTCCAAATGCAAAAAGTTAAAACAGTCTTTAAACCTGCAACTAAAGTTTCACAAATTCTTCCTTCCGTCATAGATTCTCGCCAAGCTCTAGACTGTAGAAGAATCTACAGCATTCCTTGCTTCTGTGGCGCTAAATACAGCGTGTTATTGAAAGGTACGTTCAAAATAAAATCGGCAATTGGTCTCGAAGTATGGGTGCTAAAAGTAAAAAAAGTTCAGGTAAAAGTGTTCTCCTTTTAGAGATAAAAAATATAAAAATTTATGTCCAAATTCGTTGTACGCCTCTGATAAAAAGATCATTTTTCGTTTCTATAGCAACATTTAGTCTTGACAAAAGTTTTATTGTTACAGTTGCTAGGATTTACTAAAATAAATAAATTTTACCTATTTATCCTTCTGGAGCGTCTTAAAAGGTTGGATAAGGGTTAATTTTCCCCTTATAATTTTGATAACACAAAATAAGTTTTTCAGACTTCTTAGACTTCGCGAAGAACTGTCAATTTTGTTGTACGTACCTTTCAATAACACCCTGTACATAGGAAAAACTGGTCGGTCCCTAAAAATTCGAATTCAAGAGCACAAACGTTGTCTCAAAACAGGTCTTCTGTCCCATTCTGCCTAGATGAACACTAACATGAAACCGGGTACACCATTCTGTTTGAAAATTCGCAAGTCCTGTCCAAAGGACCACATTTCTATGACCGGAAAATCCGTGAGGCTATTGAAATCCATAAATGCACTCCTAATCTCAACCGAGACGATAGTTATTATCAGCCAAATATTTGGAAGCCCACATTGGATGCAATTGCTCGTTTCTCTCCCCCCACTCCGCCCAGAGCCGTCCAATCAACGTCAGCCACGACGGTTTCCCCCACCACGTCTCTACAAAAAGGTTACATATTCTTTGCAGCCAGAAGAGTTCCGCCTCTTGTATGGTTGACATATTGAGTTATCCTACCCTTTTGCCTTCTTCCTAATTTCTCAACCCTGCTTCTGAAGATGCCACTTACATAAGTGTGCGAAACGTCGAGCCCAACAACTCAACTGACACGATCCTAACCCGGAAAACGATCATATTGACTCCGACCGTGAAAGCCCCTGAAAGCTATGATGAATGTTACTTAACAACCTTCCCAATTAGTAACGCATAAGTAATTTTAATCGAAATTTCAATCAATCTTATCCCGAAATCGAAAAGATTTCTATTAAAACGTTTTCTTGTTACTGCCATCTACTCTCTGAAACCAGCTTCCGATTTTTCTGTGCAGGTGTATTTCAAAAACATCCTGTCTAAGAAACTGAATTTGTTTGATTGTACTTCATGGAAGGTAAGTTCTATGTAAATAACTTCTCGACTAAGTTTTTAGATATAATTAAATAATTGGACATAGAAACGGAAGCAACACAAGAAAATAAAAAATATTGGAACAAAAAGACAGTAAAACATGGTATATTTCAGTTTAATTTTAATATATACAGTTTTATTTTTACAATCATGTTTTACAATACGTCGCCCTATATTCGTATTTCGTATTGTTTTATAATTTTCATACATATAATGGAAAATGTATTATTTATACTTAAATAAGTACATAAATAAATAAAATATATAGGACTTTAATACAAAACCAAACCCAAAAACCGCATATACACTTCGCAGCACACACCTTCCTCATTTCTTACGTACATTTCCTGCTGACTAAACTTAATTTAATATGTACCGCAACAGCAAATCAGGCGAGAGTGTTTTCACAGGAATGAATCTAATTTTTATTACCATAAACCACGAGAGCTTCTTGTTGATTTTAGGCGATGCTAAGTGGGGTGTTAATACACCTTATACACTGGAGTGTATGCCGCCAACGTGGGAGTCACGGTCGAGCCGACGACGTCCTCCTGGTATCCCTTGGCATTCTCTAACAAATAGGGAGCCACAGTTGATCCGACATAATTACCCAATCCATTTATTTCGCCGCTGTTTGTGTAAATTTCTACCTTCGGCTGCGCATTCCCCGCTGAAAAATGAACAGAGCTTTTCGGGTAAATGTCGGTGCTGGGGGCGGGTGTGGCGGCGACGTAAGTATTGTAATCTTGGTAATCATCTTTGCTCGGCTGCGTTGGTAAAGGTGCGTATAAAACCTTGTTCTCATCGAACGCACGCAACTCCGTAGGCAAATGCGATCCGCTTATGTGATCGTATTGGTAATCGTAAGAATTCGCCTTCAGAATAGGTATCGGCCGGATTTGGCTCCTGTGTTGAATTTGTATATTCTGCGCTGAAACGTCGTTTTCTGTGTATTTGACGTCTGCTTTGTAGCCGTTTTTGTCGGCTATGTATGACACTATTTGCACCCTGCCGTCTGGCAATTTTACCCTATATTCCCCATTCGTGGCTCGGGAATTTTGGGATTGAGTGTGAGAGAAGTCGTCGCCTGTTAAGTGATCCACTACTTTGTATGAAAAGGCGTAATTCTTTCTTTGCTGCAAAACATAAAAATGGATGAGATGTGGACGAAATAGGGTGTTGGATAACATGAGCAAAACACACAACAATATTTTTAATAATAAACGACTCGATAGAGTTCGTCGCGACAAGAAGCAGAGCAATTGAGGCCGAGATTCTGCATGGAATTAAATTGAATATGCGAGTACATGTTTTTGTTGAAGCTACTAACAACTAGTTTATTCGTAGTAGTTCTTAAGATCTGAAAGCAAGATTACTAAATATTTTACTTTATAAGTTTGAGAATTAATATTAAAGATATTAAAGCGATAACACACAAAATGGTCAAATTTTCTCGTATTGTATTTTAGACTGCGCACGTTGCGCTTGCGCAAATGAGACACATCAATTTCACATATAACACCATTTATGTCTAATAAAACTACTCCCCTGTCATTGGCCAAATTAATAAGACACTGAACTGTTAAATTAAACAATTGATTTAGAGTTGTGTTAAAAATTAATATCTAATTAAAGAATAAAATTTATAATTATTCAGTGAATTTTAAACTTCTGCAATTTGCATAGCAAATTATTCGGAACATACAAAAAAGCACATACTTTTGGTCACAAAAAAACGTCACGGTCTAAATCCTTTGAACAGGGATATTTCCACGACTTTACATGTTTGCCCAACTGAACCCAGAGAATAATACTCGTAGTTATAAAGTCAGTATAAGTTTACGTTATGTCATAATTCGATAGCCACCAGATTTGACATTTTCGTACAACCAAAACGAGCACATCCCCTTCAGAGGAAATGCAAAATGAATTGTGTGTAAATGTTTAGTTTTCTTTTACCATCTTCATATATTTCATTTTTATTAGTGTAGTCGCGTTTTTCGCATGTTGTCCATTCAGGTGATAAAATATCTGCAAAATATTATTTATTCTCAAGGAATTATTCCGATATATTAACATTCAACTAAGCCTAATTCTACAGGCGAAGTAAAGTGGAGTTAACTGATGTATATACATAATGGGTTACACTCAAGGATCCATACTAAGAGTTAGAAACCCCAATGAACTCACCAACAACAAAGAATAATACAACTCGAGTGAATTGCTAATAAGTTGTTCGAAACGCACGCAAGCCGTAGCAGTCGGTATACTAAACAGAAACGATTATATCTGGTGATCGATAAAATTTGGCGTCGATGGTGGTCTTTGAATGATTCAGCACTTCGCATGTTGGCAATTATTGCTGTCAATCAAATGTCATTACTATTGCACTGTTGCAGTTTGATTCTTTTTTTTTTGTTTTCGTTATCAAATTGTAGTTTCTGTTAAAGTTATCACTTTCTCTTACTTTCTTTGATTTATCTTTAAGTTCGAAAAAGTTTACTTAGGTGAAGGGTATTTTTGCTAGTATTGGATTTTACTGTATTAAATAGTACCGAAAAAAAAGGGTATAATTATTTTTCTTTGAAAAACAGATACCTTCCAAAATGTATACAAACATTGAGAGCACATTTACAAATTTAATTACCTACTACAGCTATATGGTAAATCGTATGTATAAACTTATCAATACACCTAAGTTTTAATATAATGTTTTAATGATTAAATTTAATATGTTAGAAATGATAAATACTGAAAGTAACAGCCTACATTTGTTTTCACGCATCATTTTACTTCCCAAGTGTAAGCTAAAGATTATCTACTTCTATGTTTTCTCGAGGTTTCATCACCCCTAGAATACTAAAAAACAGGTCTCCCGTTTCCGTCTGTCTGTCTGTCCAGATTTTTATTAGACTTATAATTTTCAAAATTCCATACCGATTGTTGTCAAATTTTACATGCATGTTAGGAATATCGTATAAATGATAAAACGCTAACCAAAATTTGGATAATCATCTCCAGCAACAATTTGATGACGTCATTTCCAATAGTTATCTTATTTAAATTTTATATAACAAGATACTCCTGCATTTGTTGTTTATGAATCCGTGTTGAATTTTCACCCTAGACGTCTAGATTTTTGAACAAAAATTCAAAATTGTGTAACGACATTTTACAATTTAACTTTGAAGCTGCAAAACCTATAGCTCTGAATTGTTGCAAACATTTTATGGCTATCATAAGCATGGTAAATTGTTAGTCAAAATTTCTCCGTTTACTTCCTCCAAAAAACTGATGATTGATCATCTCAAAATTTTTCCGAAAAATCCTATCAAAATATTATGACTTTATACTTCTGGTTTATTAATGCACTCATAGTTTTCAGAATTACTCAAAAAAAATTAATGAATGAGGCCTTTTATTTTATTGATTACAAATTAATATTCGTGTAATATCAAAAAGGAGTATTTGTAGTGGAAAAACTCACTTGAAACATACATGTAGCACGCTTTTCTATATTAATTACTTGTACATATCTTTATTTTAACTTATAGAGGTTCCCATAAAAAAATAAAATTCGCAAAAACAATTTTTTTATTTTTTTCAAAAAGCGATATGTTTTATTGTACATTACGGGCAAAGCAAATTTTGTCGAAATAACCTTCGGGCAATTTTTTTTAACGCAACATCCTATATATTCTTATTTTTACATATTCTGATTGGCCTTGTTGTAAGCTTTATAAACGTTGTTACTTTTGAAAAGCCGATGAGACGTTGCCACGTTATTCCAATATTTTAAAATATTTTTGCCAATGCAAAAAATCACAGGGTGATTTTACTCTCTTCGTTATAATTAGAGTCCGGAATTCATGAGATTTGCATATAGATGACTACAACTAAATGCTTTCGGATCTAGATGAATTAGGTAAATATTGGAATTGATTGACGCATATTAAATTTTTCATATTTTGCATATATCAAGATTTTTCACATATTTTTATATCTTTTGGATATTTTCACATATTTTGACAATTTTTAGATTTTCAGAACAGAACGGGAACTTTTTAATGCAAGTGTCGACGTTTTTAACTTCTAAAGGTCGAAATCTACAAGACAATGTCTTTGGTTAAATTTCGAAAATTGTCAAAAACAATCGAAAATTTCAAAATGGGATGTATTAAAAAATTGAATTTTTGAAAAAGTTGCTTAAAAAACTCAAAAAATTCTGAGATAAACATTTTTACATGCCAATTGGAAAAATGTAGAGTGTTTATGATACTGGAACGAGATTTTAGAAATATCCGGTGTGAAATTTCATTTTTTTAATAATCCTAAAAGTTGCCACATTTCAATTGGTGATTCTGAAAAATGCTGGAAGTTACATTTGCCAATTAGCAGGTACTAGCCCCGCCCATCCACCCTCTCTTTTTTTCGATGGGTATGCAATTTGCTAAAATCGATCTTATTTTAGCAGGTACTAACCCCGCCCACCCACCTTCTATTTTATTAGAGGGATCACATTTGCCCAAAGCAGTCTTATCTTATCAGTTACTAGCCTCGCCGACCGGCGCTGTTCTCATTCTAACGATTTTATTTATGTTGAATATAATATAATTCCAAACAAGCATTAAAAAGGTAAAGGAAAAAATAGGACAACTTATAAATAAAAAGTTTAAGGAAGTACTTCAAAAGAATCAAGGTTACATTTTGTTATCAAAGGTAGCTAAAATACATAATGGAGATTCTAATAATAAGGTTAACATAGAACCACATTTAATTAGCGCTTTTAAGTATGCACCCATTACATCACTGGATGTAAAGAGGAGTTTTTCTACCTATAAACAATTTTTTTCTGATAGGCGACGTAATTTTTTAATTGAAAACATTGAAAAACATATAGTTGTAAGTTATAACATTAATGCTGTGGCGACACAATAATAAGTAAACGAAGAAAGATAAGCGGCCTCGTGGTCTAGTGGTCAGGATACCTGCCCGGCAAGCGGGAGGCGTGGGGTTCGATTCCCACCGAGGCAAAGCAACATTTTTCTTCGGTTACCTACAATGCAGACATTTAAGTGTTTCTTGATGTATCATTGTACTCGTTTTTTTTTACAAATATTTGTTATTTAGTTGTGTTTTTTTGTAAAATAAAGTTATTAAAAATTGGCACAATATTGTTTTAAATTAAAAGTATTAGACTTATGGTTAAATTACCAATTTATTGTATGCTCAATAAAAAAGAGTATAACATGTGTACATTTTTTACAAAAATTTTGCATATTTTCGTAAAATTAAAACATATTTTCTTATTTTTTCTACATGTATATGCACATATTTTGGCCAAATTTCGTGCATAAAATTCCGGACTCTGGTTATAATATTTTATGGAGAGGTAAAGAGAATTAGGCGCTTAGTGTCAATTAAATTAAATTTTATTACACAATGTTATAAAAATAAAAAGGACAGTTGAACAAATCCAGCTCCGAAAAATTTTAAAATTGAACTTTGAGAATTTTATATTTTATAATAAACCTCTCTGAATCAAAATTAATATATGTTTGTTAAAGTACCTAATAAGTTTTTCCATATAAAAGTTTTTTTAATGATGTTACCAGTATTTTAGCAAGGACACATATCAATTTGAATATAGTGTAGTGTAATACTATTAATAACAGTACTACATACTAAGCTAAACTAAAATAAACTAAAATATTTGGCCTCATTCATTAATTCTTTTGGGTCAGCTTGTATAAGCAATTCTAAAAAATATGAATGCAGTGATAGACCACAAGTACAGACTCTTAATAGTGTGCATATTTTAGATTTATTCGGTGAAAATTTTAAGATGACGTCATCAACTTTTTTGAGAGGGGATAAACAAACTAAAAATGTTCGCAAGATTTCATAGCATTTTTTCCGTAAACGCATAAAACATTTGTAAGATTTCAAAGCATTCTGTTTTGCAATTTCAAAGTTAAATTGTAAAATGTCGTTAGAGAGTTTTAATTTTTTCCCAAAATCTGGATGCCTAGGGTAAAAAAATTCAACATGAATTTAAAAACTACAAGTGGAGGAGTATGTTATTTTAGAATAATATTGACTACCGTGCCAATTGGAAATGATGTCATATAATTGT